AGGATGAGAGCTGATAGAGGAGAATTGGATGCCATAGAAGCAAGAGATTTTTTCAAAAGGTACGGAGTTCAATTAAAGTTGACTACTTCTTATAATTCTGAAGCCAATGGAAAGAGTGAAAGAGGTCATCCTCCAATCATTTATGCATTGGTTAAGGCATGTAAGGATAAATCAATTCAATGGCCTAAACTGCTTCCATTTGCTTTATGGGCTGATAAAACTACTCATAGTATTGTCACTGGTTATATGCCTATGGAATTAATGCTACGACAAAAACCTATAATGCCTGCTAAAGCAACCTATCCTACATGGATGTTTTTATCTTGGGAAGATAACATTAATAGAGAAAGGTTATTAGAGCTTCGAATCCAACAGTTAACAAGATTACCTGAGGACCTACAAATTGCAGCTGAGAGGTTAAAGGAAGCAAGATTGAAAAATAAATAGAAGTTTGATAAGACCCATAGGTTAAGGCCTAAACCTATAGAGATTGGAGATTGGATTCTAGTTTATGATAGCAGCCTTGAGCATCAACATAGTACTGTAAAGAAATTTGCAAAAAAATGGTTTGGACCATATGTGGTGGTTATAGTCCATGATAATGCCACATATACCTTACGTGAGTTAGATGGAGCTATCATTAGAATTCCAATAGCAGGGAAGAGGGTGAAGGCTTTCAAAAGAAGAGATGGGCAGTTTCAAATAGAAGATCTTGAAGAATTCTTACCTCAATATTTGGACCAAGAACATGAAGGAGAAGACTCTATGAGTGATTCCAAGAAGTCTCAAGAGGATGAAGAAGAGTAGTATGTGGCACATACAGGAGGATGTGTAGGTTTGTAGGAGATGGATGTCGTACTGTAATTACTTACAGTATGTAAAAATTAGTGAAAACATGTAATATGTTTATAAGTCTTAATGTGAGTTAGAATAGTTAGTATGTTAATTTAAAATGAATTGAAATAAGAAAAATTATTTGGAAGTTAATCTAGTTTGATCATAGAGTTTATATTATATAGGATTTAGATAGTTAGTATAAAGATTAAGGGAAGGGAGGAGTTAAAAGATGAAAATATAACTAGAAGGAGGCTTATTGGGAAGGATGAAAGTAAGGCATGGTTGGATGAAGGCAAGGGGTGAAGAACTTCATCCCTATTGGTCGAATACCATGCCCAATGGGCTTTGAGGAGGCTGCCCGAGGCCATATTAGGAATTAGGGTTCCTCTTTCGAGGCCATTCGAGCTTTTGAGGCTAAGGTCAGAAGGTTTAGGGTTTTGGGTATAATTTGGGTGAAGATTTTGTGTGATTTCGAGTTTTTATGGAAAAGATATGAATGTTCAAAGATAAGGTGTCAATTTCGTACCTACTGTCACTTCTTTTGGGCATCACATACGAATACGGAGAGCAACGGAAGATCAGCGACTGGATTTGGAGGGAGCATTTTCTCGGCTACACATTCTACTTACTGTATAGTGAATTCTAAGATTGGATGAAGGAGTTATGAGGCGTTGAAGATAGCACTTGTAATTTGAAGGCAGTAAGTATATCGTTTTGTTGCTAGTTATGGGTGAAGCCATATCTTGAGTTTCTGGACGAATTTTTGGCTCAAAATTTCCACAAGTGTGTGTAATTGGGTTAAGAAGCTTTAGATCAAAGTTTCATAGTATTTGAATAATTACTTTGTGAGATATGAAGGAAGTTGTACACGGGTGTAAAAAGGCTAGGGTTTGAAGCTATAGTTAGGGTTTTCAAGATATCACAAGATCCAAGACGAATTTACGGTTGAATTTTGGTGTGGTAGTTGCCAAAGATATATCAGTACCCCTTGTAAAATTTGGAGTTTTTTAGACGGTTAGATCGTAAGTTATGAGCTGTTGAATTTCGGAAAAAATTCCTCATAAGGATATATAAGTTTTTTATAACACCTTATCAAGTATTTTGGTGTTCTTTGGATTTTAAGGCTTGTATATTGATGTAATTGCTCCAAAGGAGAGGAGTTTATATATATAAAATTGTTACCCTTATATTCCAAACTCGATTGAGTATTTAGTGACAGCCAGAAGCCCAGCGCTTTCTTGAGGCAAACTCTCTCTACCCCGACAACGTGGTGATGTTCTATAGGACATCGAATATGTGTTGACTTTGTAGGACACATGCCTTGACTTACAAGACAAGTTTTTCTACGTGTGGGCCACATTGTTAGCTTGGTCTTCAAGCTAACAACATGTGTGACACATGGCGAACTTGTTGACCACGTTTATAACCTAATAAGTCGATTAAAGACACCTATATAGTCAAAGCAGCGTCTATAAAGCTTCTTGGAAGTTTGTATACCAAAAACTAAAGAATTTACTTACTTTTACATATATTTACTTAATTCCACCTATTTATATATGTAATTATTGGCTCACATGTATATGTTCGTGATAATGTGATATGTACCCTAATCACATAACATGTGTATAATTTGTAGGACAAGTTTTTGATATGTATTCTATATTGCCAACTTATAATATAAGTTGCTAAATGTGCAATATGTAACCAAGTTGTCAATCTACTAATCACTTAGAAACATGTGTGAATTCTATTAAGCTTTTAAGAAGTTTATAAATAAGACATCAACAATTTAATCTACTTTTTCTCATTTCTATCTATTTCTAATTATCTAAGTCATTATGTTAATATATATGGCTATTTATTACATATACATAGTAAAATAAAAGAAATTATAGAGTATATAAAATTACATTAGACATGTATAAAAAAAAAGAAGTGTATATTTTAATTAGTTTTAAATTAATTGATTATTGAATAATTTAAAATATTTATAATTATTTTTAAATAATTCATCTAATTAATAACCTTAAAAGATGTTATTTTTCAAATTATATAAGGTTTTATTACTTGTATAGGATCATGTAATTTTACACTTTGTTGTTGCATATTTTTTGAACTTCTAAGACACAAATTTTGTCTTAGAGCTTCATTACAATTAAAATATTGTTTAAAGTGCAACATCTTTTGGCCAAAACCATGCAAGTTTTTTCTTTGTTATTTTTATTAGGAATATCTTCAATGACTATCCTCTACAAAAAATATAAATATTTGTTGGGACAGAGATTGTTAATAGATTGTAAACTGATAACCTTATTTTTTATATAGTCTATAAAAATAAAAATAAAAAGATAAAGAAGTGAAAATTTATAAAGTAATGATGGAATAAAACCCTAATTTTTCAATTTAATGATTATGATTTTCAAAGTTACAAACTTGGTTTAAATTTTAACTAATAAAATGAAAAGACAAAAAAAAATGGAATAGTCCACTTCAAAGAATTCATAACAGCTACAAAAGTATTGTTGATTAGCACCACATCAACTAAATAAAATTCTTTCAATTATTGCAATTTAAAACAATTACATGCTTCAATGTCTTGGTTAAGACTTAGCACATCATGATTTACACATGTAGCATAAATAAAATACTACTTTCTTAGAGTAATGCAACATCATATCATTTGCCATGAGTACAATACTATTTCTCAGATTAATTATTCCAACTCAAAGAATTATTTTCAAATGCTTTATAAATGTGTGAATAGTAGGGAAATTGATGCAAAAATTATAAAAACCATAATTATTGATATATATATATATATATCTATTATTATTATTATTATACCATTAATTTCTACCTAGTTACAAAGCAACATCATTCCAAATCCTTAACACTAACTGTCCAACTGCCCAACTTTTAATTTCACTTTACCATTCTCATCTATTATATATAGTTCCAAATATGGAACTCATATATATATATATATATATATATATAACAAACCTCTAGAAGAAAACACATCTAAAACTTTGCAGATTTTTATTTGAAAAAGAGATATAAAATTATGTAGCATAATTGGTACACAAAAACTTGCAACACATTCACAACTGCAATAATTGAAATTATTGAATCTAAAGTATTTTGTTAAAGATTCAAAATAATTCATTTAGAGGAAAAATAATATTTAAATAATTACATCAATTTACTTTGAATAGTGCACATGTAACATAAGAACATTGTAAGCTTTATTACAAACTCTAATAACATGGACATTGGGACTAATGTGAACCAACATGAAGAAAAAATCTTTTCATTTTCTAAAATTGTATAGTATTCATGATTTTTATTGATTCTTGACTGTAATAAAAATTTATAAGAAAGACTGGAGGTCTGTATCATTCACAATTGTTTCATTAGAAATATGTTTTAAATTGTTTTTCTGTTGAACATTTCAGTACAAGTGTATATTGAAATTATTCAATAATAAATAAACTGATATATAGTAATTTCAAGCATTAATATAATGAGATAAGTGTAAAATCAATTAATAAATAAAACTAAATACGTACTTACTTATTCACATATCCTACACATTTTAATTTTGGATACGTAATCTTATAAATTCTCTTCAATTAACCAACTATAAAGACTAATAATCAACAAATCACATATATGACCGAAGAATTTTAATTTCAGTTCATAGCTGTATCCTCTCGTCAATTAATTCATCTAGAACATCTCATATTTTGAATATAACTTTCCTAGTCCAGCTTTTAAGTTGTACTTACTCCCAAGTTCTAAACTTTTATTGTTATTCATACTTGGTTGCCACATAATTCTGTATACTAACACAAGCTCCCAAACATTTAAAAAAATAAAAAAAATAAAGAAAGGAAAAAAACCAAGTTCCTTAAGCACCACACAAGATCAAAACAAAGTTCCACCACTCAAATCTCAACAAAGAAATATAAAAATGCAGAAACCCTAATAATGAGGAGAGGTGAGGGGAGAGGAGGCCAATGGGGGACGTAGAATAAGTAATTTATACAAGCGATTGGCGTGGCGTTCCCATCAAGTTCTCACCCGGGATCCCGGGTCCCAGGCACCGTCGATTCCTGTCAAGGATTGGACGGACCAGATGGGAAGGGGCGGGGGAGGGCAGGGATGAAGTGTGAGAGAGTGAGGCTGTGAAGGCAGTTGAATGTGTTGCGAATTCAGCTGCTGGGTCGCCAATTCATGGTCCCGCCCCACTCCTTGTTCCTTCTTCCTTGCTCTCCACGTCCAGCGTTACTTGTAAGTCCACGGGATTTCTCACTTCCTCTGTCTGTCTGTGAATATTAACACTTAGAAGCGCTTTTGGGGTTTAGGGTTTTAGGGTTTTTTTTCTCTCGAATTGGGTCGCACAGGCAAGAGCGAAGCCAGAGGTGTTGTGGATCATTGCGTTGTTGGGGGCGGAGGTCTTTCGGGGATTTGTGATCCAGAGGGGTTGATTTTCGTTTTGGTTGAGGATTTTGTGCAGATAGGTAGCCAAGATGCCCGTGGAAGTCGAGTCTAAGGGGGTGCGGGATCCCGCGGCCCTTGCACTGTTCAAGGGCATCGGGCTGGATGCTAAAACCGCTGCCAATGCTGTTGCGAATCCCAAGGTTACGGCTAATCTCACCAATGTTGTGCACGAGGTTTGCTTCCACACCTTCCTACCGTAGAGTGTGCGTTTTCACCAGAGAGTAGCTTGATTGTTTGTTTGTTTGTTCGTTCGTTCGTTTGTTTTGTTTTTTCTCCCTCTCTCTCTCTCTCTCTCTCTCTCTCTCTCTCTCGCCCTCCCTGTGTATTAGTAGGAATGTCGAGGTCTGGTTGTGTGAGTTGATGGGGGCATGGTTCTGATTGAATTGTGCGCAGGCAGGTGTTGAGAATGGCTGCGACAAGTCGGTGGGCAATCTCCTCTACACCGTAAGTATTTAATTTAAGTGTAAAAGCGCTTCATGTCTTTTTTGATGCAAAATTATATTTTTAAGGTGACAAGTTAATGTTACCCCTCCTCCGCTCCTTTTTCCCATTGCTTGTAACGGATCCCGTTGGATCAATAAAATCACGATCTTCATCTTGATAATTTTCACGAACTTTGTGTTCTCTAAACACCAACATCTGGATTTTTGGATATGGAATAATTGTTATGGTTGCTTGCAGGTTGCCACCAAGTTTCCGGCCAACGCACTGAGCCATCGGGCGGACTTGTGTAGATACATCTCCCGGAACCAGGTGCGAATTGTTCAATGGGAGCCCACTCTTGCCAACTCCGTGCAAGGGTTTGTTGCAACTGCTGCCCAGCACCTTTGTTTATTCGCCATAGACGTTTCTTACTCCGTGGATCTCCGCTCATCATTTTGTTGCGTATTTATATCTGATGTGACTTTCTGTCCCTGTTGGTGACAAATACTCATGTTTTAGAGGCGTGATTGTACAGATCAAAACCATACCTCAGGTAGAGGCGGCACTTGGGTTCTTTGCTCTTGTAGGGCCAGATTCATACGATGCCGCTGACTTCGAGAAAAAGTGCGGTGTTGGTATGAACACGATCATCTCTCAAGAGTACACGTTGTGTTTGCTTACTGTGAACGCAGAGTTGTACTCTACCGTGGAGTTGCAGAGTTTTTTTTTCCTCTGCTTCTGCAGACGTTATTGGAATGAAGAAGAGGTGTTTGACAGCATGTTATGATGTGATGGTTGTAGGTGTGGAGGTTTCTCCAGCAGAGATCAAAGCAGTCGTGGCAGATGTGATCAACGTGAACAAGGAGCTTCTGTTGGAACAGCGCTATCGCGTCAATGGTGAGTCGATGATTTCTCTGTCTTCATTGTCTATTCTAGTGGCGTAACGATGATTCACTTGTTCAGCAATTGCTAAGGACAACGAAATGGAATATTGCAGTGGAATGACTTCGTTGGGAGGTTGTGCGAGTGATTTTTTGGTGACTAGTTTGCAGCTTACGAGGGGCTACAGATGGATTGTGTTCTGTTGAAATTTGTAAAGCTAGAGGTGGTGAGAGTCTGACTCATGTGGTGGGGCTCTGTAGTTGGTATACTTCTGTCACAGGTGCGGTCGAAGTTACCTTGGGCAGATGGAAAACTGGCAATGGTATGGTTCTCACCATCTTTTCTTCCTATCTGATTGGTATTCAACGGTCTAGTATACCTTCATCTCTGCAGAGGGTACCTGTCGAGAAGGCAACCTCATGTTCTTAGTTGCCTAGTGGTCTTTTGTGGTTTTCCTTGCCAGTTGTTGGCAGCCCTGTGAAATCGTAGTCTGTATACATTGATTTTTGATTGGATTTCCAAGAGTTTCGTGGAATGAGTGCATCGTGTATTACATTGCTGAAGGTCCACTAATTGTCTCTATTTTACATACCACTTCAGAGATTGTTTTCAAACCATAATCAATTGACAAGCATGTGCACAATGTTTTTGTGTTGATTATGAATTTGACTCTTGGGTCTTGTTGTTTTTTTAATGCAGGAGGAATTGCAGACGCAGATCAAGGATTTACTTGGAGAGAAAACTGCGGCGGATGATGAAAAGCTAGTGAAGAAAAAGAAGGATGCGAAACCAAGGGTGGAGGTCAGCATTTAAGTGTGCTTTCGGGTGTTTACTTTCTGCACTGATTTTTGCTGAAATACATAATTGAATCTTAAGTTTGAGATACATTATGATGCTATCTTCATGTTTTATTTTTTGTTCGAAATTTATAAAGGCGTGGAGTCTGAGAACATGGTTGTAATTTAGATCTTTGGAAACCCTGCAGAAGCCTTCCTCTGCTGTAGCCACTGAGGTGGCTGCAACAGCTAGCGATGCTCCAGAAGAGAATGACCCTTATTCCATCTTTCCAAAGCCTGAAGACAACATATCCGTGAGTTCCTGCCTCTTTTTGGGCATTTCGTTAATAAAGTGATCACATAGCTGCTGTTGATGTAGAAGGTGCACTCTAAAAAGGCTTACTTTTGTATGCTAATGATAACAGTCCTTGTTCACATTGTATTAAAACATCTGTGGTTATTTTCAGGTACATACAGAGGTCTTCATGAGTGATGGTTCCATCATGCGACTACACAATCCTCGGGCCAGGCTGGAGAAACATCTGAAGGAGACCGGTGGCAAGTTTGTCACTCGATTTCCTCCAGAACCAAATGGATACTTACACATTGGTCATGCCAAGGTAACCCCGGCTTTAGTCAGTTACGATGGGTAACTTGTGACCGCTTTTGGAGGAGTGCCTTAGTAAATAGAGCGTAGAATGGTTTTGGTCCAAACTTGGTGAGGGTGTGTTAGGTTTTCGTACGTATTAGACAATTTTCGGAGTGAAAAACTAATCGTGTATCATGTTGGCTTATTTGTGCAGGCCATGTTTGTGGATTTTGGGCTAGCAAAGGAAACTGGCGGAAATTGCTACCTGAGGTAGGTGTTTCTGCCTCTTTGCTGTATCTTTATCACTGACCTTTCTGGAGTTTTTGCTGCTTGCAACGTGTCTAATTGTAGCTCTCAACTCAGGAATTAATGATACATCTCTGTCCAATAATCAGGAATCTCAATTCTTAAAGCTTTGTAACGTTTTGTGGATCTGTCAAGACTTGGGTATTTCAATGAGATTCGGCCTATTAACATTAGAGAAACTGTAGATGAAATCGATTCTTTGTGATCTAACATCAAATGTTACATTTGGATACAGATTTGACGACACTAATCCAGAGGCCGAGAAGCAGGAGTATATTGATCACATTCACGAGATTGTGAATTGGATGGGATGGAAACCTTTTAAGGTTCTTCTGCACAACTTTTTACTTAGTCTTCGTAGAGAGAGTTCATTTTTCTTCTGGAACTTTTGTGATAGCCTGTGGGGTTTGGCTGAGTCAAATGTTTCATTTTTATTGGCGTGCAGGTTACGTACAGTAGTGACTACTTTACTCAGCTCTACGAATTGGCCGTGGAATTGATTAAAAGAGATCGCGCATACGTCGACCACCAGGTATACCAGTATCGCATGAATATTGTTTGTCAAGTCGATAATTTCCACTCCTGCTTTAGTTATTTATCGTACAATCACTTTTCAGCGCCTTATATTATACATTCAATTTGGATTTCCATTATTTTGGTTGGGGTCTGAAATTTCTGCGTGTTCTATTGGCTACTGGCTATTAGATACTGACGCATTGGCAGTTTTGCAGACAGGAGATGAAGTTAAGTTATATCGCTCAGAGAAGAGAGAGAGTCCATGGAGAAATAGGCCTATTGAAGAGTCACTTAAACTGTTCGACGACATGAGGCGTGGTCTGATTGATGAGGGCAAGGCAACTCTTAGGATGAAGCAGGATATGAAGAATGAAAATCCTAACATGTATGACCTCATTGCATATCGCATTAAGGTACGACACCATATCAGGGTTAGGGAAATATCGGACAGTTTTTCCAGTTTCATAAATATTCATTATTTAATGTGGATATTGCGAGGCTCCGGTTTTTTGATGAAAATATGATGCATGCTTTAACAGTCTAGCAATGAGTGAGGTTCTTGATTGTCAACACATGGTCGAACTGTGGTAGTGTGTATTTGTAATCCTGGAAGTTTCATCTGAAACATTGCTGCCATCCGGATCTGTGTTTTGGTCATGATGATCTCTGTGCTGACAAGTACACTGTGGTTTCAAACTCTTGTGCAGTTTACTCCTCACCCACATGTTGGAGATAAATGGTGTATATATCCTAGCTACGATTACACGCATTGCATTGTTGATGCTTTGGAGAACGTTACCCATTCAGTGAGTTCAACTTGCCATTTCTTTTATTTTTTATTTTTTATTTTCTCTTAACTGTTGAATGTTAAGAATACCTTGCAACCAGCTTCCACTCTTCGACGCAAGGTTTGCATATCTAAGTTGAAGATTCGTCGTGCAATAATTGGAAAAATTAATTTCAGTCACTTTTCTAAGACCATTTGATTTTCTCTTTGGTCTCTTATTTGACAATGCTGTATTTGCAGCTCTGCACATTGGAGTTTGAATCACGGAGGGCGTCGTATTACTGGTTGTTGGATTCTCTCGATCTTTATCTTCCATACGTGTGGGAATACGCTCGACTTAATATTACTAATACCGTCATGTCAAAACGGAAAGTAAGTAAAGCGTGTGATTCTTTTGTGGTTTCTCTGATATTTGTAGTCGTTTCTTTGCCTTGGTTGTTCCTCTAACTTTTGATTTGTAGTTTTTCTAGATTAAGTCGTCAGGGGCATTTCGTTTTTACCTATAGGTGCTCTGAAGTGGATTTGGATCTTAACACTTTTTCTTTTGGCCCCTTGTAGCTGAATTGCCTTGTCACGGATCACCATGTTGATGGATGGGATGATTGCCGGCTGCCAACCCTTGCAGGCCTTCGCAGAAGAGGCTTCACTCCTGATGCTATTAATGCCTTCTGTAGAGGCATTGGCATCACTCGTAGGTACTCAATTGCTTCTTTGTTTCTCTTCTTTATGTTCCAAGAAAGTTTCTTCGCCTTCCAGACTCTTTCAAATACAATTTTGGTTTTCTTTAGTTTCTTACTCCCCCTTGGTGATCAATAATTCCATGCTGTTCTATTTTTATGGATTGATTTTTATTAATGACTTGAATGCGATTGCCATGTACAAATTCCGAAGATTGTGCCTGCGTCTACAGTTGTTGAGAATGGTGGCTGATATGTTCACTAATTGTACAGTCCTTTTTAATAGTTAAAGTAAGATGCATCTTATTGATCATTTTTAACGATTAATCTGGAATGTATTTTAGTGACAATCTGATCCAAATGGAGTTGCTGGAACACTATGTACGAGACGACATGAATAGAAATGCTCCTCGAACTATGGTGGTTCTGAATCCACTTAAGGTTGGTAATTCATGATCTGTATGTCACTAAATATATTATATACCTTATTAATGTAGGAAGACAGACTGTCTTGTTTTTTCGTTAATAGCGGGTATGGTTTTGTTCCCTTTGCTTTGCGTGTTGCATTTTTTACTTTGGTTTAGTTTCTAGCTTCGTTTACTGTTGAACTAACTTTGGATTCGTGATGCAGTCTGTTGTAGACTAACTTTGGTGTGGCTTGTAGGTTATTATAACAAACATGAAAGATGACGAAATTGAAGAGTTAGAGGCAAAAATCTGGCCCGATGCCAGGGAAGGCAGTTATAAGGTAATGGATCATTCGAGTTCGTTTCTTTATCGAATATCTGAATGGGTAATGATCGTCTTGGAGGTGTAAGTGGGAGTTTCCTTAACAGCTTTTGATGCTTTTACAGGTACCGTTCTCAAAAGTGTGTTACATAGAGTCTTCTGATTTTCGACTGGAAGACTCTAAAGACTACTATGGGCTTGCACCAGGCAAAAGCGTGATCCTTAGGTTAGTCATTTTTCACCTGCTTCAGCTGGCTACATATTTTTCGTATTCCCACGGGCTTTTTGACAAAAACCTATTTGACTGCGTTTACTGTTCACATTCAGAGCGGTTTTTTTTTTTTTTTTTTTTTTTTTTTTTTGTGATGTATAGACTTCTGTGCAAGCGGCTATTACTGACGGTGAGGTCTGACAGGTGGGCATATCCGGTCAAATGCACAAATGTAGTACTTGGGGATGACAAGACAGTATTGGAGATTCATGTTGAATATGACCGTGAAAAGCGCACCAAGCCGAAGGTTTTAATGTGCCCCTGTACTCTTTGTTTTCACGTTTGGTCGTTTTCCACTAAATTCATTCTTGAGGCAGGTTCTTTTCATTCAGCCACATTGGAAGCAAGTACAACTTTCGTATCTTTTTCTTATGAGCGTAATTTCATCTTCGGATTTTACTGCAGGGTGTTATTCACTGGGTGTCAGAGCCATCTCCTGGTGTTGAACCTTTAAAGGTCGAGGTTCGGCATTTCGACAAGCTTTTCAAAGCAGAGGTATGCTTCTTTTCACCTCTAGAGGACGATAACTTGAACTTGTCATCTGCTGGATAACGGACCTCCTGGGTAGCTGTAGAGGTGGACCTCATAAGAGTTGTACCATTAATGCTGTTGGGGAGGGTATAAAGATGCAGAGAGTAACTTTATACTCCTCTACATTGAACTGTTGGTGTCAGGATTTAGATGCCACCTTGAGTTTTCGTAACCTATGTTTCTGGTTTTGTAGAATCCGAATGAACTTGAAGACTGGCTTGGTGATTTCAATACCAATTCCAAAGAAGTGATATCTGGAGCTTATGCAGTGCCGCCTTTGGCTAACTCGAAAGTAGGAGACAAGTTCCAGTTTGAACGTTTAGGTGGGATTCAAAATTGGTTTGCTTTGCTGTTGTTTGTCTCACCATACTTGATGTTTTTGTTCTCCTCATCGAACTCCTTAATTTGGTATTTAAATTTAAATTTTAGTTTGGTGAAGCATGGGGATTTTTTCAGAAGTCATTTTCTTGCTTGGTGAGCTGTACGTGGTTGATCTGAGTTCGCTAGAGTGCTGCACAAAAGGTTTCTATTAGCTCTAATTTATTTCCCTACTGAAATAGTCAACTTTCCTTTTAAATACTTTTGCATTGGAATTTACAGGTTACTATTGCGTTGATCGGGACAGCACTCCAGAGAAAGTCGTGTTTAACAGGACTGTGACACTGAGAGATTCTTATAAGCCTTCAAAACCTGCAGCGAAGAAATAGTTTCAACCGAGATGGACTTCAATGAGATTAGTGAATGTTACAATGGTGAAATATTTAGTCTTGAAAATTTGAAGTCTGATAATGTTTGTAAAGCCTATTCCATTTTAAAGCAGAGGTTGCCCTGCTTTAAAATGCACCTGTTGACTTTTAAAACAAAATCAACATCTTTGAATCTCATTACCGTTGAATCAAACCCTAAATTTATGTTGTAATGTAATGATATCAGCTGCCCGAATATCATTAAGAGCTGTCCAATAATCTGAGTGTTATTAATTATTATAAGCAACACTAGATTGTATTTAACGATTACGCTACGTCAATCTTCGGAGAAATTATCAAAGAATCTCATTCTCATTGGACCTATTTGGCTGAGTGAGGATTTGGTATGCTTTGGGTAATGTGGTAACTGTGTGAAATCCGGACTGTTTGCTACGTACTCGCAACTTGATTTATTCGTCTGAATATTTCTATTACTCATTTACTCCCATTAATAGCCATATTGGGTAATTTAGTAAAAATTTGCTTGCTAATCGGCATCTAATCACTGTTATTTCAGTGTTAATCAAACTGAATTGAAACATGATACTTTTGGCATCTATATCAAGGGACAAGTTGGCTTTCTTAATTATTGTTATTTTCTTAAAATACATACATACAGACGTAGGGGGTTGACATATTTTTGTTACTGCCACAGTTTTTGCTAATACTACTACAGTTTTTGTTATTGCCATTTCAATGCGCCCATCTCGCTGAGGTTGTAATCGTTGTGCATTCCTACGCCTGGGTTTCTCGACGTCGGAAGCATCGCAAAATATCTAGACTGGAATGGTGAAGAACCTTAATACTGCCTCCCTGGAGTAAGGATTTGGTCCCCCGAAGGAAGAGCTCAGCCACGCTTGTCCAACATGGATGTTCTCATTGGACATGATAGACTGTAACGTTGCATACACAATCCAATTATAGTCGAGAGCAAACATCCACAAAGTAATCGACCTCCATGGCGAAAATGTGTGCCGGTGCGTGTCTTCTGCAGTTAGCACCTGATTCTGTGAGATTCAGGTGGATGTACCAGTGGATGGGCTACGAATCTAGCGGCTGCCTTCACATGTTCACTGAAATTCTTCCTCTGCTGATTTTACCGTATTAAATATGATGACTAAACAGGACAGGTTTTGGTGAACATACCGAAGCATTCATTGATAAAAGTATCAGATTGAGAAGTCGAACTTATTACTGCAGCACAATTAGAGGCTGATCAATAAAGTGGCGCATGAATTATATATTCGTGGCGTAGTTGAGTTTGTTTTCAAACTTGTCACTGCCGTTCTCCAGGCTTGTCTGCACTCACACCAAACACTACCGTATCAGCAGACGTCTTCAGAGCCTGAACTCTTAGATCCTTCAGTGCACATGCCCTTGGAACTCAATTTTATTCCTAAATTTAAATCTGCATACAAAGTCTGGGAGATGTAGAAATCAAGACACTCGTGCGCAATGCTTTTTAAGGTACGAGGTGACTTCCAGATTGTCAACTGCCTCGGCTGCCGTTTGGTCGTTTGGGTACAAGCTCGTGATCGACACCGAGGCAACTCTGTCTTATCACCTTCAAGCAACCGAAATGAATCGAGATAGCCAAAAAAATCCTGTCAGAGAAAATTAAAAATGGCAGCTTCTCCATGCACAAGAAAGAAGCTCCTGATAGCACTAACCTAGAAAGCTTCACGTGAAATTAGCCTTAATAAGAGTGACTGAAGAGTTAGACTGGATCTTATCGAGAAAGATGATTTCATGTGGTCATTTGTGGGAATTAAACCAAACATGCAGCTATGTACAGTCTGAGAATACGCTTGTCCTGTTGATTTTGTGAGTGCTAGTGTTACAGAGCCGGTAATGTTTTTGAGACCGATAGTTATTGATGTTATTGTTTGGTGGTTAATCACTGATATGGTAAAGCATTTTGTCGCCGGGCTTGATTCGCGTTTAAACATAAAAACGACTGTGTCCAACTTCAACGACTAAGATAGTCCAAATGACGATGAGAATTAAAGAAGATTAATGTAGCTGCATGTTAGTCGTGATGAAACAAACACCCCATCATCCATGCAGAAATTGAAGCACTGAAGCATAATGACTCACGAAGTTCAACAACAATCACTTGGAGAATTATTATTATTGCTAGAAAAATATCAATTAAAATCACAAATTGCTATTCAGGATTTGTTTGAGTTTTATACCAGAAAAGTCAGCAAGGATTCGATGCGTCGATAAGCTATTTAGTTCTTCTGATGTTCATAGCACAATTCATGATTCCCAGTAACATCTAAAATATATAAGACAGATCTTGTCAGCCAATTCTAAATCAATTACTGCACCTCATAGTAGCATCTACTGTCACGATCATTGAAGTGCTGAATGGTAGAGAATAATTATCCGAATTGAAACAAATATCAGGTTGTGATAATATTACATGAACTGGTTCTGAATTCGATCAACATATTGATAGTCACCAAATCATATTATAAACTTGAGTAATGTTCTTGCCCTGATATCAAAATTACCACTGCATTGTATTGTAAATCTGCCTGACGTCAATCTTGGTGTAGGTCAAGCATGCGCAGCCACATCACTGAATGCAACAATTCTTAAAGAAAACAAGATGTGGGCAGCTCCTCTCCAAATACGTGCAATTAACAGATGATTATCATAATACTAGATTTAAGGCTGCGCAGTGACCATTTCCCCAGTAACCCAAATATCATAAAAATCATTTAGAGAAGCTGACCAGTATGTAGGCATTGTTACGGAAGGAACTGTCACGGGTTCCAATATGACTTGACGTCAATGGGAGCCTACAAACCTGCGCCCAAACAACACAAAAGACACAATGGCCAAGAGTACTCCACAGACCTAATATGCGATTTGGGATAAAGAATGAAACTAAACTAGTTGACATCATGATGTCTTCATTTTTCTCCAAACATCATGATCAGTACCTATTACCGAGACTTAATCAGGTTTACTGCCCAGGCCACCGCGTTTTGCAGAGGAGACACAAACAACGTAAAAACTGATAACCATTTGGATTTGAAATCATGCTAAACTCATACAAATTTACAGAGGACAATGAGTTGTTTCCCTCCACGTACCCGGTCTAAGTACAAATTCTTACAAAAGGCTAACCTTGAAGTTATTACAGGGCCCTGGCTGAGACCACTCGACCATTCCGTGTTGGTAACCCAGTTGCTGTCTCAAGGAATCTTTGTTTAATGAAGAATCTACGGAACCTGACAGACAGTCAGACTTGTCTGTCAGATCAAAAATCACTAGTTCCATATGGTCGTAGTGGGTATGCCAGAGGAAAGAAAGATTGAAAAGTGCTGCCAACAATGGAAATAACTCAAATTCAGGAAGTGACACAGCAGATGCATATTACAGCTACTTTCTATGTACAGTTCGCCCACTGCGGATGGTGCTGCTACCAGTCCCCGCAGTAGGGGAGATCTGATTCTGAAGGGCAGCCAATTCACGAACACGCGCTAGTATTGGAGCTGGGATAGCTGCTGTGAACTGTTTTTTCCTTTCACCCTGCAATCAACCAAATGGAAAAAAATAATGAGCACCTAGATGTGTTCAGAAGAGTCCAGAAACTTGCACATGATTAAGCTTATAAGCTAATGACTCACAAAATCATAATATTATTGCCAGGAAATGACACCCAAAACTATTTACCTGCTTAGCTGGATGTAGCTGAGCCCGACTGGCTCGTAGGAGGTTTCGCCACTTATCCTGCATAAAAGAAACAATAAAATTGTTGAACAGCGCCCTGGTAAATATCTGGGCTCGACATGAGAGGGATCACTTGCTTTTTTTAGTAAAATATCATTCTCTAACCCAGCTTGCAATGATCAAGCTCAGATAAAAGATATCCATGTTACTCCCTTGGAGTGGTCCCATCTCTTCATTGATAACATACAAAATCGACAACTAGGAAGCGAGGAATTTCCGACAAAAGAGAAAATCTATATCGTGAAACCATCAAACAACTAACCTTCAAATCAACCGCAGTTCTATACCCGACATTCGAAAAGGCTAGCTTCTTGATATCGGCCCATTTGCCCCCACCACACCGTGCAACACCCTCAACTAACGTCATGACTTCCCGCAAAGTCCAGGGTCTGTGATGTTTACGCCTTGTTCCCCCATTAGCAGTTGGAACGGTTGCAATGGGCAGGTCATTCTCTGGCCTGCTATCTAGAGGCAAGGGTTGTAAAATTGCTGAAGGATCGAATGGCACGATTGGCATTAAAACCGACACTCGATCCCCAGCTCCTCCATTCGACTCAGATAAGCCATCCTGAACAAAACGTTCAGCATTGAGGAAGATATCTCCCATGTTCCACACACACACAGACCAAAAGAAAATTGAAAATTAAAAAGCGGCGAAAGGCAATAAAAGGTAAGGTATATCGAGGCAGACTCCTGATAGCGCAATTAGTTTTATCTGCATCTGAAATAGGTAGCAATATGAAGCAAAGACTTCACCTTGCGAACTTTGCCTTCTGTATCTTGCCGCGTAGGTCGAGCGGGGTCAGCCATTTTAACCAGTGTTGAGGCTCTACCTTCGAGCTTCCGCTTCTGCACGCAAGAAGCCAAGTAAAATAAGAGTCTAAAAAGTTGCATCACTAAAAACAAACCTATCCTCTCTGATACTAACCAAGCTCAGAGATCTGGCTGATAGTTTGTGTACCATGTCTCCTAACCAAATGCCTATGCTTTGATTCTCCTCAGACCTCATCATATGCATTTAAGAGATAGATCACGAAGCAAGGACTGGCAATTGTGGTGCTCAGTAAAGGAGCTAATATGCCGTCACGGAAGCACCTCGAGGGAATGTCTGAATCCCCAGAAAAATTTCCAAGTCCAGAAAAGAAATAACTCACACATCAGATGACAAATAACTTTGACAAGCCGCAACTGACATACCGCAATACCACCGACTATTTTTGGCCGCTGAGCTGCGGACACATTTTTATTTGAGGCATTTCGTATTGTGGGACCTCTGAGAGTGCCGTGCCGTCCAATCATATCTGCTGGGCCATCTGTTTCCACTGTTCTCCAGGTAAAATTGGCAGATGAATCCATTCCGTTTCCTCCAGACTCTCCATACAATGATCTATTATCATTGGTTGGAATAAAACCAGGAGATCCTTCAGTCTCATCTTCAATGTATCTGCGATTAGGCTTTCGCTGTCTTTTTCCACCGACTGGCTCTCCTGCATGTCAAATTACAACTTGAGACACGGGCCCTGTTGAAGTTTCCTTGAAAACAAAAGACAAGAAGAGAAGGAAGAAGGAAAAGAGGACAGCACAACAACGAAAGCAATATCCACACTGTTTTATCGTCACAGCCGGAGATGCTGACCCAGACCAACGCAAGGAGGTGTGAGGGACACACCAGCATTTACTACCTCGCCGTAGAGGGCTATCTGACCACGAGCGGCATCTGAACTATTTAAGCTTCCAGTATTAAAGACATCAAATCTACCACCTGTAGACACAATGGCTGAAGTGGTCATTCCATGTTGAGAGCCTTTACCCTCCAGGCTATTCCAAGCCGAATCCTTAAGAGACTCAGCTCCTGTTTTTGCTTCATTGGCAGCATCTCTCTCGACAGCTCCCACGCTAGTAAGGCCGACTGAAGGAAGGGGTTGCTCAGCATGATCGTCTTCTTCCAGCCTAATTTTCAATTTGCTTGACACAGGCGGCTGAGGCTTAAAAGCAGCCTCACGCTGTCCCATCCATCCAGCAGAAATTTGACGCTTCAGCCAGTGCTTGTCTTTCACAGATGTGTCGCGTCCGTAGGTCGCGCGAAATGCTTCGTGTAGTTCACGAATGGAAAGATTTTCCAGGGAGACTTCCTCATGAGCAGCAGAACGTATCCCTGAGGCTAATGACACTGGCGAAACAACTTTAGTACCGGTTCTAGTGAAGGGCTTCTGTGTAACTGCACTTCTAGCCCTATGTGTGCTTGCCGATCGCACAGAGCTCCGATGAGATCCCCACCCAGATGTCACTCGTGGTGAAACAGCAGCTTCTTTGGTGGGTGTTAGAATAGGCTCTCCACTACTCGAGCTCAGCGCTGGTTGTCCTGAAGCACCATCCTCCCCAGCTTCGAAACCGAAATACTTGGGGTTAGGTCGACGCTGTCTCTTGTCGCCACTTCCATCCGCAGCACTGAAGTATGGAGAGAAAATGTCCTTGTGACCAAGATCATTCTCTGATGCATCCCTTTCCGCAGCCATACGTTCTTGCTCCGCGGCATCTACTTGTAACAACATAGAATCCAACACCTGAACATCCAAATAACTAGCCAATTTCAGATACATAAAATGGATAAGTGGAACTTTTTGTTAAGTGGTGTTGTTCTAAGTTCCCAGAAGTGTTCTAGGGTTTTTTAGCTTTCCAATTGATATTTATCGGTTGAATCTATACTTTGATCAAATCCGTGACTTAATACCTGTAGCCGGGCTCTCAGCTTCTGTCTTTGTGCAGCAAGGTCTTGGAAGGGGACTGCCACACTCGTAAACAATAATCAGTCCAGAAACAAAAAGAACTAAATTAAAGAGTACATTTGGTCTAAATAGGAACTTCCTGAAGGATGTTACTTGGGCAAAGAAATAGAACGAGGAATAATCGACATGAACAGGTAACCTTCTAAAAAAGAAATACAAATAACCATGCAATTTCAACTACCTGAAGTACGAAAGTCGAAAAATATGAAGAGGTCAAAATGCGAAAGTATTGGACTACATAGGAACTTCAGCTAGTTGATAAGAACTTGGAATCACAATAAAAAGTAAAAGAAATAGCTTGACACATAGAATACTAAATTTAACCAGTCTCGTTGTGAATGCAATGTATGAAGGAAATAAATTGAGAGTTGGATCCATTGTGGGCTCTTCTGGATCTAGAGCGTAAAGTCTTACTGTTTCGAGCCCTCTCATCTGGTTCATCATCTGTATCGTACTCAGTTCGCTCGTCATCTTCCTCCTCGTCTTCTTCGTCGTCTTCACCGTCGCCACTTTCATCAGCATCAAAAGACGAAAGGCCATTTCCCGAACCACTGACCAAAGACTGAAAAACTTCGTCCTCAGTAGCTGGAAGAACTGACCCATCGTCTCCAACCTGCACATACACATCGTTTCTATGAGCATTTAGAAGCAAATACCTCTAAATTCCGACGACAAGCATCTGAAGGATAATAAACCCATTTTTTTCCAGGATAAAAACAAGAGCTAGGGATGACAGCTACAAAAAGTGCAAAAAGAAGCTTCAGAATACAACCCTATTCAAGAAAAAAAAAACATTCAGCCTAAAGATATTGCCGTTTTTGTTTCGAAAATATAATGTAAATCGATTTGGCCGTAAACTAACACTGGACTACGGAATTAAAAAATTTAAGAGAATTATATACCTTGACCAGCTTGTAGACCAACCGATCATCAACATTTGGCTTGCTAGTCGCTGCAGGAGACTCCTCTCTTCCTGACGAGGCAAGCCTTGAATCACTCCCATCTTCTGTAGCCTCCAGCATCGCCACCGCGGTAAGTCAACCTTCTAAGCCACACGAACCAATCCCTGTAACAGAGGATTTTCATTATATCCTTGATCGATACGTAACCACACAGCAAGGAGAATAGATGCAGGAGACCACTATTTTTTGTAGGAAGAACGTTACATAATGTTCTCGAGCCATGCATCCCAATTCAGACACTAAAAAAGTGAGACTGTCACTTCACGGTAGAATTAACCAAGATGGTTATGACCAGTCAAAGACCCGGCAAAAAAAAAACGCCTCGAACACGGTTGTTTAAAAGACAGGTCCTGTTCATGCAAAGATATTAAATCTGGACTAATGACTGCAAACTCAAGAGGAGGAAATAAGATCCGAAAGCCGAAGAACTCGCATTAACCACTTGCCCTTCGCAATAACACTTAATTAGAGTCTCATGAAGAAGTTTTACACAAAGGCCTTACAGTAGACCTAAATAGCCTTTTTCCAACATGCTCATGATCCCTTGATGATATCTTTGACCACCATAGACAATGTTAACTTTGACCAAATGGCTCTACCGCTCTGCGTCCTGCTGGCGATCACGGAATATACTGCGAGGAGTGAACCATGCGGTGGTCTTTCAGCATCTTAAACTTTCCTTAGACCCCTTCCTCTCTCCAACATGTCTGATTAACACATTTACTTGACATATGCCGTTGTATTCCAACACAACCTTCGCAATTTCCAATCAACCAAAGATCAGAACCAAAACTCCTAACAATGCCCTTCTGCAGCCACCTATGCCAGATCTTGATAACATCTACATCTATCACAGATCATTCACAACGTACTCTTCTTAAACAATACATACTTCATTTCAAGAGCCTCTAAGGGGGGAAGAGGCAGCTGACATCGATAAGTCCGCCCATCAGACGCTCAGGGCAGCAAGTACATGGCACCAATACGATCCAAACTCTGCATCTTCTTGGAAAGAAACTCTCTACCACGCTTCTTTGCAAACTCCGCAAGCTTCCTCCAACCCACCCAAAATTTCCAAAGATCCCTATTTCTCCTCACATGAGACAATTTACCGAAACCCAATACCCAAACCAACCCCCTCGATACCTCCCGAAAATCCCATCCCCCAAAACCCAAAAACAGGCACAATGAACTCATCAGAGCATCAATGAAAAGGTACTATTTAAATTTTTATTTTTAAAAAAATAGAGGAAAAAAAAACACGCAGACACACCAAAACCGCAGCAAATAATCCTACCCAGCCTTACCCCAAAAGAACACCACCCCAATTTTCCACTTCCACGCCACCGAATCTCACCCGCTTGGCCCGGACCTCACTAATCCTGCACTCCTCCGGCAGTGCCCCTCCCTCACCCCAAAAAACCTCCCCACACTCCACCAAACTCCACCATTAATTTCCGCCTTCCAACCGCTCCCACCCCCACCCCCTCCCCCCAAGACGCAGAATTGAGCCGCTTCAGAGCCGGAATCACGACAGCAATCCCGCATGGGGGGAGCTTGCGAGCATCGTCGATCTGCACACTTCCATGATCTCTCTCTCTCTCTCGTTCGAGATGAGCAAAGGGGAGCAGTTGTGAGAAAGCACCAACTGTTCCTCCTGCAACCAAGCGTCGACGAACAACCAACCAAGCTCGGTCGTCCCTTCTCTCTCCCTCCCTCCACTTCCTTACCTGAAGAAAGATACCCGGGTATCAAGCCAGTCCTCTTCCGGGTATTATGTACACCCCCCCGTCCCAGGTCCCACTGGTTCTGTCTCTTTCCACCTCGCTCATCGTCCTCTCTCTCGCTTTTATCACCACCATCTTTTAAGCTCTTCTTCCATTCATCTTTTAATCTTAGGCCCATCACCACCCATGATACCCGGACCTACCCGGTCCTGCCCTGCTCTGCCCATTGTTGACCTAATTCCCTCCCTCCCAGGCAGACCTGAACTGACTTTGGCTTCTCAAAGTTTCCAAAAGCAACCAAGGTAGATCTTTTCACAGCCTGCCATATCCAAACCCCAATTTAAGGCGAGTTGGGTTCCTTCTTTTTCTTTTTGCAAATTTTGTTGACTTTCTGGTATCACTGCTATGCAATGCAGCTGTGTGCACCATGCAACTGTTTAGCACTTTGTGTATATGTGTGTATGTGTGGGGAGTATGAGGAGGAGGAGGATTCTGGCAGTGGAACTGTGGTGGTGTAGGTCCAAAGCATAGTCCTGGGTGAGTTGGTACAGAAGGAAGGTAGCAAGCTGAGGAGGAGGAGGTAGGAAAGTGAATACTCCTTCCTCCCCCTTTTTTATCTGTCTTCCCCTTGGTCCCCATGTACATCCCAATGCACCAAATCACTTGAGTTCCATGAGAGAGTCATTGAGAGAGGCTCATTCTGGAGTGGGGTGGTGGTGGTGCATGGTAACTGGGATGTACCTTAAGGTTACCCTTCCCTTCCACCACACTCATTCTGGCTGAAACTTGTCACACCCATCTCATGCAATGGCAATGGTCCATGTCTCCATGACACACACCACTGAATTTCATCCTCTGTTCATCTTCTACATGCTAATAAAAGCTAATGTGCTACAGTAAATGATATATACACACACACACACACACACATATATATATATATATATATATATATAAATTAGTGGAAACTTGTGCCATTGGCCACAAAAAAGTTCCAAAATAAAATGAACTTATTGTCTTGTGCCATGCAAATCCACAAATGAAACAGAGGATGAATGTTACAGATGCATCATTTCCTCAAACTGAAAATTTAATTACATATACACTTACATATAAAAACCAGGTTTATGTTTGTTTGTTTGTTTGTTTTTGTTTTGTTTTTGTTTTGTTTTTGTTTTTTTAATATTTAAACCAGGGTTATTGAGTTATGAATAATAAAAAAAAATGTTTTTAAGCAATTTGATTGTCTAAAATATGTTTAATAAAGATATTTGCCTCAGGCATCAAATTTTGAACACGTCAACAAAACACCAGTTCATGTGCAACATCCAATTTTGTAAAAACCATATGTGTAAAATTATACTAATTCATTCATAGACACACTTTGATCTACAAATGCACATTAAATGATAGAAATTTATTAATTATTAGAAGTTTATTAGTTGAAATTTGTGCCCTTGGCCACAAAAAAGTTATAAAATCTTAATTTGTTGTTGATAAGTCAAAAATTGACCACTTCTAAAGAAAAAAGAAAAAAAGAATATATATATATATATATATATATATAATAATATATATTGTTATATATATAAGAATAGTACAATTAATATTTTTTCATTTGAATTTATAAATTTAATTTTCATATTTCATATATATAGTAGCTAAAATAACAAAGTTGAAAGAACTTCTCAATAAACTACATTTATAGTAGTATTTTTATCTTCATTATTTTTCAAATATAGGATCTTCATCATTTTTAGAAAAATGTATTATGATAGGATAACATGCAACTATTTATGTGCAAATATTAGGATTCTAATATCCATTCCTATATTCTTCAATGATTGTCCTTGAGATTTGTTAATGGTCATTGAAAATCCTACCTTTATTAGAAATTACTTTTGCTGCAATTTGAATGGAATCTCTTTAGATAATAGATATAATATGATCCTTAGAAGAAAAGCCAACTATCTTTCATAGTCTCCAAATAAAGATCTTGCCTCTATAATTTGATCTATCAACCATGTAATGACCAACCATCATCCATTGCAAAGTCCTTAATGTAGAGCAATGTTTTGCAACAATATAATAATACATCCAATCTTTAGTTCTAAGCTAATGTTAGGGACATAGTCCTTAGAACTTTCTAGAGACAAGTTTCTAGAACCTTCTAGAAGCAAGTCTTTGGAACCTTCTAGAAGCTTCCTAGTTGATAGAAGTTGCTTGAAAAGCTTCCTAAATAGGAGTATATATTGGAATCAAGGCTAAAGAGTTTTTCAGTCTCGACAACACATCTCTTGGAGTTCTAGCTCACCTCTCTGGTGTTGTTATCATCTGATTAATCTAGTTCTTGCCAGTTCTTTTGGAACTTCTTGTTAGATCTCGAGTCTATATTTCTGTGTCCGTGATAGTTTGTCGAGACTTCACTCACCTCAGATATCAGAGCTAGTTTCTTCCTCGTTAGAGTGTAGATTATCCCTCTGCTTGGAAGTGTACTAGCATTTTAGAGGTTACGGATTACCTTCCTCTAAACTGATACTTCTTTTGTTACAATATTGGAGTCTTATTCTTCTTGGAGAGAGTAGATTACTCCTTTTCTTGAAGCTCTTAAGGCATTTTAGAGGTTGCGGAGTACCCTCTTCTAAACCAATATTGTCTTCTTGTAGAGTCATTTCTGTTCTTTTCTTAGAATGGTTGGGGGCCAAGACATTAGTATGACGAAAAGTTTGGAATCCAAGTTGGATGCTATCATGAATGCCCTCGCTACATTATCGCAAAGAACTACAGAGATTGAAGGAGTCGTGGCAAGGCTTCATAATGATGGAACATCTAGGATGGCACAATCTAGGTTGCACCAACTTCAAACTTCTGTACTTGGAGAAGCAACTTTGCCTCAGGTTCGACAAGCACCACTGGTTCTACAACATAAGGAGCCCCGAGTTAGCCTTCCGGACAAGTTCGATGGTACGCATTCCAAGTTTCGAGGATTTGTCAACTAAATCAGGTTGATAACAGTTTTAAAGCCCGAATGCTATCCAACGGAGGAGTCAAGTGTTGGGCTTGTTGGAACCTTACTTATAGGGCAAGCTCTATCATGGTTTGCTCTTTTGTTTGAGAAAAGATCGTCCATACTAAACAACTTTGAAACCTTTTTGGAGGCGTTTGCGGAAGCATTTGGTGAACACGACAAGGTTCGATGGGCTACAACAAAGATCCGGTCACTACGACAAGGAATGCGCTCTACATCAGTCTATGCATCGAACTTCAGGCAATTAGCATGCGACATCAATTGGGATGAAAAAGCGTTGATGAGTCAATTCTATTGGGATTTAAGGGACGATTCGAAGGATTTGCTGTTAACTCTTCCTGATCCGCAAACGCTCAACAAAGCTATTAGCCAAGCTGTGAAGTACGATAATTGCCTATTCCAACGTCGCCAAGACCAACATTCAAGACAACATACGGTTTGTCACGCCCCAACTATGTCGACAAGCAGTGTGAATTCACATTCAGATATAGAAGATATGCAAATTGATGCGATACGTGTCAAATTCCTTACTCTAGAAAAAAAGCGGCGTATGGAAGAAGGTCTATGCTTGTATTGCGGTGAAGAAGGCCACAAAGTTGGAAATTGTCCCAAGAAGCAAAATTGACGTATTGTCAAGACTAGGGGCACATTTGTTCAGGAAAACGAGGATGTCGAACCTTAATAGGAATCATGCGGCTGGACAGTGAAATATCGCAACAACAATCAGGTTCCTTTCTTTTCGCTCAACTTGCCCTTTGCTTTACAATCCCTTTGCTTATTGGCCTTCAGAAACTGAGAACCTTAGCATTATTAGATTCAAAAACATCTACTTGTTTTTTAGATGAAGAATTTACGAAGCATCATAAGATCCTTTTAGTACAAAAATCCAAACCTGTTCACGTTGAGGTCATAGATGGGTGACCTTTATTGTCTGGTAGTGTCACCCATGAATCAGAACCTATAGAAGTGACGTTTAAGGGCCATAGTAGTCATATTATTTTCAATATTATTAGAACCCCATCAAATCCTGTTATTCTTGGTCTTTCTTGGTTGAAAAAGCATAACCCATCCATAGATTGGAAGTTGCGGAAGATGATCTTTTTCACAAAACCACCCAAGAGCAAGCCTAGTAGAAAACCGCGAATAGAGAAATCCTTATTCATTGGAGCAAGAGCATTCATAAGATCGTCCAAGGAAGGCACATCGTTTGTCATTTATGCGGCTCCAACTACTGAGGAGAAGATCTTGACAGCAAGTATACCGGAGCAATATAAGGATTTCAAAGACGTGTTTCAAAAGAAGAATGCCGACATGCTACCGAAACACAGACCATGTGATTGCGCCATAGACTTGCAGGAAGGAGCACAACCGCCTTTTGGCCCAATCTACAATCTATCGCAGATGAAATTGGTGGAGTTGCAGAAGTACATTGACGAGAATCTAGCCAAGAACTTCATCCGTCATTCAAAATCGTCAGCTGGAGCACCCATCTTATTTGTGAAGAAGAAAGATGGCTCATTGCGGATGTGCGTGGACTATTAAGGCCTCAACAAGGTAACAAAGAAGAATCGTTACCCGTTACCCTTGATTTCTGGTCTCTTAGAACAACTTGGACATGCAAGGATCTTTACAAAAATTGATCTAAGGGAAGCTTACAATCTCTTACGAATCAAGGAAGGAGATGAGTGGAA